CTCCCCTCCCCCGCCCTCCTCCCCTCCGGTCCTGTCTCCAGCGGGAGCGCGAGACGCTGGTCAGGCTCCGCGGCGCAGCTCGAAAATGAATAATCGCCCCCAATTGACTTAAATTCTACCGAAGCCGGCGCCGCGGCCGCCCGCCGCCCGGGATCTGCTCGCTGTGATTTTTGATTTCTCCATTCTTCCTTAAAAAAAAAGCAAAACAAAACCAGCCAGCCAGCCAACCAAGACTCCGGTTTGTTGATCGCCTTTTTTTTTTTTCACCGTTTGCGGGATTTGCAAACCGAGTTACATGCATGTCCAGTGGGGGTAGGTTTAATTTTGACGATGGAGGGTCCTACTGTGGAGGCTGGGAGGACGGCAAGGCGCACGGCCATGGCGTCTGCACCGGCCCCAAGGGCCAAGGCGAATACACCGGCTCGTGGAGCCACGGCTTCGAGGTACTGGGCGTCTACACCTGGCCCAGCGGCAACACGTACCAGGGCACTTGGGCGCAGGGCAAGCGCCACGGCATCGGCCTGGAGAGCAAGGGGAAGTGGGTGTACAAGGGCGAGTGGACGCACGGATTTAAGGGGCGCTACGGGGTGCGGGAATGCACGGGCAACGGGGCCAAGTACGAAGGGACCTGGAGCAACGGGCTGCAGGACGGCTACGGCACCGAGACCTACTCGGATGGAGGTAGGTGCGCGCGCGAGGGGGCTGGCGGAGGGGGACCCTCTTGCCCCTTCTGTTTATCTCTGGGGAAGTGGAGCTGCTCCCTCCAGAGGGCCGTGGGCACCTGGGGCGTTTCCTGGGGCTCCCCGGAGGCCACAGCATTCTTGGCTACAGGTTGCCCCGCTGCCTGGTGGGGGACAGCGCCCCTGTGCCAGCTGAAGGGTGTTGGGGGCTTTCCAGGAGCAGTGCCAGGCCCAGGAGTCTCGGAGCTGAGCAGAGTGTCAGTGCATCACCCAAGAGCAGGCCAGAGACCTGCGGGAAAGGCCAGACAGGGCCCATGGCCTCCTCTGGGGCCCAGGAAGGGCGCAGAGGGACTGGAAGAGGGCCCCCTCCCCTTGCTGGCAAAGCTCCCTGGGTGTCGGCCTCTGGGAGTCAGGCCCCAGGACTGCTGCTTGTTTTCCTGCGGTGCTGATGGGCCTCCCTTAGTCCTGATCAACCCAAGCCAATGGAGAGAGCGGCTGGGAGAGCTAGAGGCGGGGGACGAGAACCCAAACCAACACAACAAGGCAATAAACTTCTAGGTGGTTGGACGCGGGCTAGCACTGTCGGAGCAAGCTGCTGTAGGGAGGGATGGAGGCCCAGCTGTTTAGGCCCAGAAATCTCGCCTTTCAGTGGCTGAATCATTTTCACCATTAGTTTAGGGATGCTCTGTGCCTTCATTCTAAGATGCCACCACATTCCCGGCTGAGCCAGTGCCGGAAGCCAGCGTGTTGTCTGCCCGCTGGCCAGGCTGTAAGATGATTTCTGTGCAGGGAGCCTTGGCTGGCTTTGCAGCTGCCCCCAGTCCCAGACACTCCAGTGTCCACTCCTCCATGCATCCGAGAGGCGTGGAGCACTAACTGTTCCTGGAAGCCAGACCCCAGACAAGTCTGCTCTCCAGACGCCCCCTCCCCTGTCTGGAAGCTCATCCTCAGAAGTGGCTCCGTGCCTCCCTCTTGGCGGCTGGGTGATTTTTCAGGCATGGATGCCTGGGAAAGGAGCAGGACACAGCAGGGACTTGTGTGCTTCTGCTGGGTGTAGAAAGCACGAGCGGACGGACATGTGGTCTCCTGTCTGCTCGCTGCCTCTGAGTCCCATGAAGCAAGGGCTAAGCACCTGCTCCCGGCCACATCCAGGAGTGAAGGAGGGCTGGAGAGTAATTGTTATTTTGGCTTATGCAACTGAGAGGCAGGGTTCGTTATTCCTCCAAGGGGAGGAGGCGTGGGGGGCAGTTAATTATATAACGCTCCTGCCTGTCAAAGCCATGGCGCCCCATCCCAGGCGGCCTCTTCTGTGCTGTTGTGGTTTCCCTGGAGTGGGTTGGAGAGCTTCCCTGACCCTGGGGCACTGGGGCCAGGCCGAGCAGACGTCCCTCCCTGGATTCTAGGCCGTGGGCGTGTGTGTGCGCGCGCGTGCGTGTGCAGGCACGGCAAGGCCCAGGCAGCAGATGTGGGTGGCTGAGGTGGGCGGCCGAGCAGCCTGGCACTCCCAGCTGGGCTCTTTGGGAGCCCAGGGGCACCTGTCCCCGGGAGCTTTGGTCAGGCTGCCCTGCAGATCTGTCCATCCAGAGGTGCTCCCAGCTATGCCTGAGCATGGAGCGTGGCTTCTCGGTCCTGTGCCACTGGCCTCGCTCGTGAGCCTGGGAGGAGGGAGCCAGGGCCCCATCTCTGTGGAACTCTGCAGAGTATCTGAGATACTAGTCGGCCCACCTTTCCCCAAATCTTCAGTGGCCCACAGAATTCTGTGCTTTGTTCAACAAATATCTAATGAGTGCCCTTGGAGCAGGTGCTCCAGACTCTGGGAAAACAGCAGACAGACACCTCTGCCCTCAGGGAGCCCCCATTTCAGAGGGAAGGGCGGTAATTCCACATGAGTACTCTGGGGAGGAGAGGATCTGGTTCTGTGGTGGGCCATGAGTCTAGGGTCTGATGTGTTGATGGGAGACATGCTTCTCTCCTTGGGTCTCCCTGGGTCGACACCCTTCAGTCTCTGTCCTTCATTCAACCAGCGAAAGCACTTCCTTCTGCCTCGTCTTGCTTGAGTTGGAGGGGGAGGGGATCATGTCCATTACAGATGGGCACGTCAGAGCCCCCAGCCTTTGGGGCAGAGCCAAGGGTTTGGATCCCCGACCTCCCCAGGGTGGAGTCCCTTTCCTCACATCACACCACCTGTATGCCGTCCAAGGTGGGCACACAGGTGCAGGGGGCCAGGCCGCCTGCCGCCTTTCGGTTTGCGATAGGACAAGACAGAAAGTTGAATTGACCTTCCCGGCCTGGGATAATCAGGCCCCGATATCTGGGACCACTATTCTGGAGCCTGGTCCCCACCTCTCCCTAGGAAAGAGGGCACTGCTGAGAGTGCTTGCCCTCAAGCAGTCCATCAGGCGAGCACAGCCAACGTGGGTTGTTATAATCCACTGGAACAGAGCAGTGGGTCTCTGCACCTTCTCCCCGGCCAGCTGGTGGGCGGGGGTGGGTCATGTCCCGGAGCGGGCAGGCAGAGCTGTGGGGAGTTGACGGTCCTGACTCCAGTCCTGCTTTTCCTTTGCACGAGGGATGGGCGTCAGCAAAGCTCCCCACCTCCAGCCACGCTCCCAAAACTGACTTGGGGAAACTGCGATTTTTACGAATAGAGCACAGACGGCAAAGGTATTCTGCTTCAGCTGGAGTTGGTGTGGAGTCCACTTCAACTGGGGGCACTTCTGCCAACTCCTCCTCCTCCAGACTCATCCTCCCCTGGGCGCAGGGCACGCATCGCTCATTCAAGTGAGCTGAGCGGCTTCCACAGTCTGCTGGGTGACCCCACAGAGACAGTGAAGCCTGGGGGCACAGGGGGCAGCAGCACATGCTGTGGAGTTGCCCGCCATGGGACTTGAATCCCAGTGGTGCCTTTGCTCTGCTCTGCGACCTTGGGCGAGTTACTTAACTTCTCTGAGCTCCTGTTTCTGAAGCTGTACTGGTAATAACAGCTATGAAGTAGGTGGGGATTGACTGAGGTGGTATACATGGCTTTGCCAGGAATAGAGTAAATATGTGGTATTATTTGTCACTATTTTATTATTATAGTTCACATGCAGTGAATGTCCCTTATAATGATTGTTGTTAGAACCAATAGCCAGACGTGACAATGGTGACAATGAAATGATCATAGATGGCAACATCAGACACTTACTGCGTGCCTGGCAGGGGACAAGCACTGGCATAATGACAGCACTTAATCCCTGTACCCCTCCTTCCTCCCGTTTCCCACTTTGGGAAGCAGAGGCTCGGAGAAGCCAGAAGACTTGCCTGATGAGCACTGGGTGGCACCAGGACTCATGCTCAGGACTACAATACCAGAGCCTGTGCGTCTGTGTGGAACCCCTCTCTCTAAACTCTCTTGTGCAAACTTCCCTTCCTCTTTCTCCACACCCATCCCTCTCTGGGTGCAGCAGCCTAGTTGCAGGCAAACACACATGGGCAGACACCACACCCTGGCCCTCCCTCCAGTCCTGCCGAGACATACTGCCTCTTCTCCATTTGCCAGACCCCTGCTTTGCTGCACAGGTAAATACTTCCTGCTGGTGCCCTGCACAAGGGATCCCTGGGACCAAAAGTTACCACCGCCTCCCACCCCCCCCACCCCCTGGCAAATAAAACCCTCCCACAGCCCGAAAGATATGAGTCATTGCACACACCCGGCCGCTCCTCCTCAGATACAGATTCCCTTCACTGGCCCAGATCCCTCGGCCCACACCAGTCACACACGCCCACAGTCGAAAT